CGGGTGCATATGTGTGTGTGCCCAAGATCCCAAGAGGAGAATGGAGGAGAAGGGATTGCAGCGTGACCATCCCCCCTATGGGGTGATTTCTCACTTTCTGTCTCTCTGTCTCACTCTGTCTGTCTGGCAAGCGCATGCACCCTATAGCAAAAACCTCTCAAAAAAAAAAAAAAAGAATCTGGGGATATGTATAGTAATGTCTTTGTCTTGACTGAAAGGCATGGTAATCATGCTGGAAAAGAAATGTTATACACTGTAAAGATATATATGATTAAATGTAATATGAAAAAATAAAGAAAAAAATTAAATTAAAATTTTTAAAAAGTAAAAAAAAAAAAATAGTGGCCTCGGTAAAACAGGAAGAAGAAGCCATGAGGACAGCTACTCCAACACCAAGGCTGCAACAAGAAGGAGGATGGTTATAACCTAATAGTTCTAAACTAGAAACAATCCAAATATCCATCAAGACTAGAAAGGGTAAATAAATTGATGTATACATACATACAATGAAATACTACATTTTGTTTTTTGGAGGTTTTTTTAGAGAGAGATTTTCACTATAGGGTGCACACTCCCAGGAGAAAGAGAGAGAGAAACAGAAAGCAAGAAATCACCCTCCAGGGGGAATGGCCATGCCAAAATCCCTTCTCCATTCTCTTCTCAGGATTTTGGGCATGGATGCACATTTGCCCAGCGTGAGTTTTAAGCTGTCAGGTCTGGGACTTGAACCGCAGTCAACTATGTGGGAGTCCAGTGATGTAACCATCATGCCATCTGCTGGTCCCAAAACACTACATATTAATGAAAATGAATGAACTTTAGATGGTAGTGAATTTCAAATCAAAATAACATCACATAATTTTTTAATAAATAACATTGGGAAAACCATTTTTAAAAAAAGTATAACCTATATGTCTAATAAAATCCCTCACAATGCACTCTAAAAGCACAACACACTGCTAGTAAGTTTTGTATACGCATAGATTCTCTGAAGAGATTTTATGGTCCCTGGGGATAAATAATGACTACTGAACTTACTTGATTTTCCTTCTGTACCCAGAAAACACTTTGGCAAACATTCCATTAATGAATGAACAAATAGGAATGAACAAATGAAGAGACAAATTAATGAATGACTCTGTCCACCTATCCTTGTGGAGTTTGGTTAGGTGGTTTCAACTCCGGTCTGGCCAGCTTATTGGAGATTTGCATTATTCTCTCCTGACCTTTATGTAAAGAAAAGAAATAGAAACTTTCCAGAAGTGAATTTCACTGGAGATGGCCTGTGTGGCAAGTGGCTCCTGCATCCCTGTCCTCAGTTACCCTCTGAGGACAGGGATGAAATAGGCTGGTCCCCACTAGCCCTTATACTAAAAGAAAAGGGGCACTTCATCACTGGTGATAACACCAAATAGGTAAAGAAATCTGGTCCAGGCCATCCACAGCAAGTGGCTACAGCTGTGCAGGGTGAGGAGGTGGAGAGCAGGCGAGAACGGTGCCCAGTTAACATCTGTAGCCACTCCACAGAGTGCAGCAGTGTCCTCAGTGTGCAGCCCATCAGCTCCCTGTGCAACGCCACTTGTCCTCTGAGGCTAAGTGAATGGCTCCCCCCAGAAGCAGGACTTTAGTCACTTGACAAGAGGCAGCCCAAGAGAAGGGCACACAGGCAATGCCTGGGAAACTTTGGCTTCCCGGGGCATCTGAACTGACTCAGGCCAGCTGGTTTTCAGACCCTGCTTGCCTGTTCTAAACTCAGAACACATCTACACTGTCCTGTCCAGAGCCCTGAGATGCTTGGAATAAACCAGGAGCAATCATCACTCAGTGTTCACCTTGGCAGAAAATAAATGAATAATAGAATGAATCTTCCGTCAAAAAATAAATGGCCTTCTCTAGGCTGAGAGGTTGATTTACCTCCTGAAGGACAAACAGCAGCTTCACTAGGTAGCTGCAGGCCATAAAAGGCTGTTTCCCGGGACCAGCAGTTAGTATAACGGCTATGTTGCTGGACTCCCACGTAGTTGACCGCGGTTCGCGTCCCAGACCCGGTGGCTTAAAACTCACACCGGGCACGTGTGCGTGCATGCCCAAGATCCCGAGAGGAGAATGGAGGAGAAGGGATTGCAGCATGGCCATGCCCCCAGGGGGGATATTTCTCGCTTTCTGTCTCTCTGTCTGGCAAGCGCATGCACCCTATAGAAAAAAACCTCTCCAAAAAAAAAGGCTGTTTCCCTCAACCTGGGACCCCAACATGGATTTGGGGGACTATTAAGACTACTCCCTGCTTATTTATCTCCTGAAAAGATACATTTCAGTCCAGCTTCTGCTGTAGGTGCTCCATTGAAACAAGCTCACGGACTCTGCTACTTGCCAAGGATTGGGAGAGGTGGGAGGACACAGGGGCACAGCAATAAAACACAACACTCTGTGAAGCCGATCCACATGGGGAGGTTCTAAGTTCATGTCTCAGACCTCCCTGAGTGTACCAGGCATACCCATGTTCATGACCTGGCACTGGCTGAGAGGGACCATGGCACAACACCCTATTGGGAGCCCAGTCTCCAGTAGATAGTAGTATACCAAACTGTTGAGCTGGAAGCCACCTTCCAACCACAGTTCAAGTCCCCAGCCCAGTGAGCCTGAAAACACGCTGGGGCATTCACACATACCCAGGAACCTGACAGGCTGAAGGACTGGAGGAAGTAACTAGCCATCCCTGTAGAGAGACAGTCTCTCTCTCTCTCTCTCTCTTCTCTCTTGTTCATGGAAGAAATAAATAAATGAATTTTTTTTTCTTTTTCAAAAAATAAAAAACGAAGAAGGTGATGATAAGGGCATTTCAGCATGGTGTCCACATGAGGGGAGAAGGACCAAAATCCAGCCAGCAGTCCTCTTGAAAAGCTGTGCACCTGAGCAATGGCCCTCATCACCCTAGCAGAGCTTGGGTTTAACAGAGAAATCATTCTGATTATTCATGGCAAAGTTAGGAGGGAGGGAGTAAGGAAGTGGGGAATATGGAGCACCACAGATGATTTTCAAACTCCTTTGGTTAGTAATCTCAACCTGTGTAAGAATTGCCAAAATTGCATGAATGGCATTGCCCAGTTCTCAGGGTCGGGGCCATTTAGTAGGCCCTGTAGAAGAGGCTCCTAGCCTCTCCTGCTAACTGAAGACTGAGGCTGAGGTAATATTCTCAAACACAGCAGAAAACCCACCCCATATTGAGGCATGACCTGTCCTGAGGTCATGGCACAGATTCCCAGAGTTGGGGGAAGCCTGAGCCTTGCTCCACTCACCAAACACACCTGCTATGGTCACAATGTTTAAGATCTCCTCCAAAATCCATATGTAGAAACCTAACACCAGTGTGATGCTATTAGGAGGTGTGTCCTTTGAAAGGTGATTGAGAACCTTCACATATGGGATTAGTGCCTGGTAAAAAAGCCCAACGGAGCTTGTTTACCCTTTACCATGTGAGGACATTACAAAAAGGTGCCAACTCTAAGCCAGAAAGCAGCCTGCACAGACATCAAATCTGCTGGCACCTTGATCTTGGACTTTCCAGCATCCAGAACTGTGAGGAATGAACATGTGTTGTTTCTAAGCCAACAGTGTTTTGTTTTAACACCTGAATGGACTAAGACACCACCTAAGCACAGCTTCTCCCTGCTTGTGGTCACCAGGATGGGCTTCCTCTAGGGGAGGCCAGGGCTCTACTTCCTGCTTCTGTGTCTTATACTGCATATCCTTGAGCCAACTGAAGGTCAAGAGATTCAAGGGTCCCCACTTTCCTCACAGGCCGTGAGTCTGTCCAGATCACAGTGAACTGCTATCCCTGAGATGCCTGAGTGTGCTCACAGCACTCCCATGTACCCCAACATCTCCCGCCTCTCCTGGACCCCAGGCCAGAGAGGCCTGCAGCCTCTGCCACTTCCTTCACTGCTCATTCATGTAAATAGGCAAGCAGTTAAATATGCATAAAATAGACAAGAGAAGGAAACGTTTCCCTCACCTCCTGCCCATCATGAGGCACACAGGGTTTCACTGGCCCAGAGCCGAATTGCTCCCACCTCCCCCTTGTGAGAAATGAGGCTCAACAACACGCACACACAAAACACACTGGTTTGGACCATTACACTTAACAGCAAATGTGCAGGCCATCTGGGGTAACTTTGACTTCTCTGCTTGAAAGTAAATTTAAACTGCATGCTTTTAAATGGTGTTATAAGGAATACAGCATGCAAAAGCACCAGGGAAAACGGATTCTGGTTCGGCCTCAGCAGTTGCAACACCTAGGCAAAGCAGCTGGCTGAATACACATAATTCTCTATTCTAGAAAAAAAAATGAAAAAAGCCCTTCATCTATTTTTAATATGTTTTGTAGTGTGTTTGTTCTGTTTTGTTTTAATCAGGGTTGGTTTATCCAGGATACAATGGGACGCTATCCTACAATGGATGTCGTCATCCTGTTGCCGATTTATTCTCATTCCTAACCCCTGCCCTGAACACCCAGGGCTATACTGTGTTGCAAAGGAACACAGGCAATTAAAGTAATTGCTGTCGCTCCCACCTAGACACAGCTTCCAGATGATTCTGATTTGGGCAGGATTCAAAGCATTATGGCCACGAGTCAGGAGATAGCCATTAACCGGGCTTACACCTCCTCTGCAGCTGGACTCTGCTGTAAATAACAATATAGAAATGGGCTAATTCCATTGGTGGGAAAGACTCCACAAACCGGAAAACACATTTTAAAACAGGTGATGTCTATGCCTCCAGTCAGTATCCAAGGAAACCAAAATATTTGCCATAGACTTTCAGACCACAAGTTCTATTTCATGCAAAGAAGCTGTTGAGGCAGAAAGTTGTTTCTGAACTCTTTCCTGTTGCACCATGGTTAGACTGACTAGTGTCCAGTAAGTGCCCTGCCCGGGATAGCTTCAAAGTAGCCACATGCCTCCCTTGGGTGGCTAACCTCCCCAACGGGGCAGGCTCCTTACCGTCAAGCTCCTCCACAGAGATGTTAGCCAGCTGCTCACTGTCGCTGCCCGCAGAGAGAGATCGGTTGAGGTAATTACCCTTGTACAACAAGCCAGCAGTCACATGGTGGAACGGCATCTTTTCCCTGCTCACAAGAGAAGAGGGATGGGGAGAAGAAAGACAATGTCATTCATTCCTCCTTCTCTTCTCTGAAGGATCATCTTGATTTCCAGATGGCCAGTATTATTTTTGAAATAACAATAATAGTTCTAGAAGGAAAGTTGGAATATTTCCAGGGGCCCAGTGGCCTAAGCCATCCCCAAAGAATCTCAGGTTCTACTCCTTTCTTCACTTTCCATTGGACTTCATTTTCCCCCATTTAATTATGAACTGGAATTGTACTGTCCTTGTGAACTGTGGCAGACCAGAGCATAATCAAACTGTCTCTTCCTACGAATAAGAATGTCCTTTGCTCCTTTCCTTGGCCTGATAAATCCTTGCTCAATGCAGCAGCCTCAAAATGCGAAGCTGTCCAGCAATTGGACATCTTGGCTGTGTGTGCACAGCCACCCAGGTCACCTTTCTCAGGTCACACACGTGTTCCAATGCACCCAGTATGCAAAGCAGGCAGGAAATGCTCATGCTCTAAGTACATGCGACAGTCTGTATCTCTTCAGCTGCAGCCGCCAAGCCTGACTGAGATGCAGACACTACTTGTTTGTGAGTGTTCGCCCTCTGAAACACCCAGCACACTTGCCCTGCTGTAAAGTGATGCCTCCAGGTGTCTCAGAACGAAGCAGCTTCCAGCACGCTCACAAGAAATTAAAGCATTTCCCTTATGCCAGATTAGCAAACCCTCCAAGCAAAGCTCCTGCATCCTGACAGTCACCTCTGGAATTCAGAAGTTCTCACCAGCACCAGGCAGGCCCTAGAGCCCAGGACACAGAAAAAGGAAAGAAAAAGGGAAGTGGCGAGGAGAGTGGAAGAGCAAGCAAAAACAAGACAGAGGAAAGGCAATTAGATAGAGGGTCCTCTCCATAGCAGAAAGAGCACAGTTCCTGTCCCAGCTTGTCCAATAAGGCTCTCAGTTACTGTGGACAAACCTCTGAACACTTCAACTTCTGCATCCCCCCCTAGAAAAGGGGCAAAGATGATTGATGATCTCTGGGACCAGTAGGCAGGACGCACAGGAAGTCACTTATACAGAGGGGGTAAAGAACACCTTTAGAGCAGAGCTGAAATGTGAACTAGGCAGCACTGGTGTGTGATCCCCTCACCACTTGGTACGTTAAAATGGAGGCTGAGATTCTCCCTGCTAGGGGTTCTGTGGGAGAGAAATGACTGAGCTCTCTCCACACACACCTATCACTCCCTGTGTAAGTCCTTTGCAGAATCCCTTTTGGCACTAAAGTTTACATCTGCAGAATAAGCTGGAGTGACCCAAGCAGCCTCTCAGGTACTGACTCCCTTCCAGTAACAAAGTGTAAATGCAAGGAAAAGAGAGACAACAGAACACTAGTCTCTGAGGATGACCATTAAGAACACCCAACCTGGTTACCCCTCATACCACACTCAGAATCCAAATGCAAGCAACTCATGGCATGCTGCAGCCAGCTCGTACAGATCAGCCATCTCTGGCATCTTTTCCCTGTGACACCATTAAGCAACAGGTCCAACAGGAAGCCACCTCTTCTCTCTCCCTCCAGTCCAGGACACACCAGCATGATACTGTTTGGGCTGAGAGCTGCTGACTTCAAGATCAGCCAATGAAACTCCTAAAAGCTAAAGGGCTTGACCAAGAGCACAAAGCCAGTTAGTGAAAGAGTAAGTTCTGAAACTCAGCAGCCTACGTGTTTTTTTAGTTAAGCACCAGACATTTCCACCCGGATGTCAAACCCTCACTTCAAACTCAAGATGTCTAAAAATGAATTAATTATCTTCCTACAAAATAGGCCACATTTCCTGATTTCTCTATTTCTATCGAAGGCACTTTTCACTCATTGCAACAACTGGGATGAATCTCAAATGCTCTGGGCCCCAAAAAGTAAAACAGACACGTGGCCGAGCAAGAGCCAACTGTCAGCCTCCAAACCCCCTTTAATTCTTCTCATGGCTAACACAATGTGCATCCACGGGTCAATCACAAAGGGCGGGATGCTAATTACTAAGGAGGCATGCATTTTTCAGTTACAAGAGGTACACACTTAGCTAATTATAAGTCAGACTTCCATAAATCCATCCTTAGGTATAAATAGAAGACAAATATTTTCCTCTGCAAGACTATCTCAATTAGCATCTCCTCTGTTCTCCAAATTAATTTTCAAACCAAATAATTTTTAAGAGGAGAATCAGGAGCCAAACACCCATGCAACAGTGATGCAACCAGACACACAAGGGCCACCTTATCTCAGGGCCACCCTGCGCATGCCAGACATGTGCTCATGATCCAAGCTGGCTGAGGCTGGGGGTGAATCATGGCATGAGGATCCTGTTGGGGGTGCATGTCTCTCTCTCCTGCTTTCTCTCTCTCAAAGGAAATAAATAAACTTTAAGAAAAAGAGAGAGAGAGAATCAGACATTTGAATCAGGACTACTCTCCCTTTTCCTTAGGGCTAATTCTGATTTCTTGGGGCCATGTACCATGGTCATTTGAGCACAACCTGATGCTCACAGTCCAGGTGATAAGAAGTCAACCCTCGCTAATGCTTCTTATGTGGTTTCAGCTCCACTCAGCACTGGCCCCAGTACCCAATCAGCTTCCCCAGTTGTTATCTCTACCACTGTTCAAGTCTTGATAAATGTGGGAAGATAATTGCCCTGCTATTATCTAATTCTGCCACCTGGAGCAAAACCCATTAAGGTCAGTACAGGAGCTAAAAGCACTCCTTCCCATTCTACCACACAGCATTCATTTCTTAGCATTTTTCATCTTTCCATTGTCCTCTTCTACCTGGTTGCCTGAAGCTTTGGATCCACCACACAAATTTTTCCAGCCATAGTAACAAGATTATCCTCAACACACATATCCAACCCACGCCCCAGTTCAGCCTTGGAATAAATGTTGAGTATTTTGCAAAGAAAACTGGCCACAACTGAATCCCACTTGATATACCAACATAGTTTGCTTCTGAAAAAAGAAACTTACAAAATTAGGTACACATTCAGTTCATTCAGTCTCTGTGCCCAAAAAGCTTACAGTCTAGTGGGAAAGCAAATACATGCAATCGAACCATCCATATAGATAAATAAAGCCATGTTCAAAAAAGGGAAAAGCATTATCCCAAGTAAGCTAAAAATAACTGCTGTAATGAAGGACTACATTTCACTCTATACCACCATGGGAAACCCTGCTTTAAGATTCTCACCTTGGCTAAGGAAGAGAAATATAGGAGTTCATCAACAAAGAGAAGCCTTGTCCTGAAACTAGAATTAAAAGATGAATCCTATACAGAAACAACGAACAATAACAAATGAATATCTTTGACAGCAATTTCACTCACTGAGAAGCATTATTTTTTAAGTGAGTGTTCATCATGTGAACTATCTTTCTGTTTTACGTAAGTCTATGCTATGGTTTGTCCTCCCACACACCGAAATTTATGACAGAACCTAAAGCCTAACATGACAGTATTAAGAGGTGAGGGCTTTGGGAGGTGACGACATCATAAGATCTCTAACTTCTTGAATGGAATTAGTACCCTTAGGAAAGGACTTGTGAGAACCAGTGAGGTCCTTTTGCCCCTCCCCTTCCTGTCATATGATGATGCTGCAACAAGGAAGCAGAGAGTGACCCTTATTCAATGCCAAATCTGCTGGCACTTTGTTCTTGGACTTCCTAGCTCTAGAACTATAAGCAATAGATTTCTGTTGTTTCCAAATTACTCAGTCTAAGTAATTTGTTATAGCAGCAGCAACTGATAAGATACACAGTATATTTTCACAGCTAAGAATTAGAACTTTCTGGTCAAAAGCAATGATAGATTTGAATTCTAGTTCCACCTTTATTAGCCATGTAAGTTACTTAACCCCTGTAACCTTTGGTCTTCTCCTTTGTAAAATGGGGGATTTGGTACATACCAAATAGTAAAGCCATAAATATGAAATAAGATAAGGCATGGAAAGCACTGGATTGAGCATATGATATTGAGTATCATCAGTAATTATTTGCTAAGGATTATTATAGAATGTAGGGACGAAAGAAAGTCACAATGTACTGGGTTGAAGATAAGGCACCCTGGGTTATAAAGGAAAGCCAACAGGCCCCGGCAACGGGTGGCTTCAGGGAGAAGCTGGCTGGTGTATGAACCACTGTGCCAAGAATCAAGTGCAAGCAGTCAACCACAGGAGGTTCCCGTTCTGTGGTGTCGGCATGCTGTATCATGGGGGAGGAGGAGCTCTTGGAATAAAAAACACCACAGTTGAAGAAGGGTCTATCTCCCAGTTACATCAAGGAAAAGGTGTCAGGTTAAAAGCCAAAGAAATGAGGCCAAGTCATAACAATGTGCACTGCTAAGATACTATGTTCTACAAGCTGAGATCACAGGAGGTCCAGTTCAATTCCTACCTAAATGCTGGGTGTGGTGGTGGACACCTGTAATCTCAGCAACTCAGGAGACAGAAGCAGGAGGATCATGAGCTCCAGGCTAGCATAGGCAACATAACAAGACTGTGTCCGAAGTAACTGGGCATGATGGTGTGTACCTACAGTTTCAGCTGGGCAGGGGAGGAATGTAACACAGCAAGACCCTGTCTTAAAAAAAAAAAAAAAAAAAAAAAAAAAAAAAGTTGGGGGAGGGGTCTTTTGTCAGAGACAAGAAACGGATACATTTCTTGACAGAGTAAAAGACTGAACAGTTTCACTCACATGGGTTTAAGATAGAGACCTTCTGTGATGGTTAAGTTTATATGTCAACTTGACTGAGCCATGGGGTACCCAGACACTTCACTAAGTGTTATTCTGGATGTGACCTGAGGGTGTTTCTGGATCAGATTTACTTTGAATTGCTCAACCAAGTGAAGCAGATTTGCCCTCCCCTATATGGGTGGATCTCATCCAAACCGTGAGGCCTGAAGACAATGAAAAGGCCTAGAGATAACTAGTACTCTCTGCCTGACTCTAGCTGGGACACCAGTCTTCTGCTTTTG